CCCCGTGCGCTGGGGCAGCGCTGCCCGCGGGAGCCCTCCGTGCCCCGGCCCTCGGTGCCACAACGGGGCCCGGGGTGGGGCCGGCCCCCCGGGGCGCCGTGGCTGCCCACCGCAGCCGGGACGTGAGCGAGAACCCCGAAAGCTCTTCCCGCTTCCCCCCTCCTGTCTCTCCCGCACCGATGAGGGGCAAAGGCTGGAAAGCGGCGTCCGCCCCGGGCGCGGGAGGGATCGCTGGGAGCTGTCGAGGCCTCCTCGCCGCCGAGGTCAGTGTCTGGTTACCTCCAGGCCTCTTCTCCTCCAAGCACCGGATTCCAGCGTATTTTTGGCCACCGTCGAAGAGGGGAGGCCGGGCTGTTGCCGGGCGTCCCGCCGGGGAACCGGCATCGGCGGCCACTGGGGACGGCGGCCCCCCGCCGGGGACCCCGGCTGGGCCGGCCCCTGGTGAGGGCGCCGTGGCGGGGAGCCGCTGGCCGACCTCCCTCCCTCCGCGGAGGAAGCCCTCGGAGGAAGCGGGGCAGCCAACATCGGCCGCGAGCAGCCCGCGGCCGTGCCAGCTCAAGGCGTTGGGCCCCAGGGTGGTGCCGGCACCCAGGAATGTGCCCCGGGCTGCCGGCGAGCTGGTTTGGCAGCGTGTTTAGTTTTCGCCTTCCTGGCCGTGGTGGTTTCGCAGCGATGCCCGGAGAAGCGCAGGATCAACGCGTGACAGCCCGCTCCTCTCCGGCCGGGATGTTACCTGGAGCGGGCTCCCCTGCGGTTTGCCCGCCTGTGTGCTCTGGTGTCAGTTGGGCCCCGTGCCTCAGTTTCCCTATCTACGAGGACCAAAGCGTTCACCCCCCATAAGTCCGCGGGCGTTATTTTGTCGGTCTGTGGGGAGAGAAGGCGCTGGAGGTCTGATTGCTTGTGCTGGGCAAGGTGCATCGCTCCCAGTGATAAACCCCATCCCTGCCCTCTGGATTCACAGCTCGGCGCTGTAGAAGCCGGGTGATCTCCCCTGCCCAGGGTGCTGCACCCCATCCCGGCCACCCACCACGTTCTGGGGACGTTTCGGATGTCCCAGCCGTCATCCTTGCGGACACAGAGGCTGTTCCTGGGCGCTTGGGGTGGACGTCCCTGTCCCTGGGGGTCAGCAGGCAGCGGCTGGGGCCGCCCGAGCTCCCGCGGGCGGGGGGGAGGG